GTAAAATTGTTATTTTTAAATTTTTTTCATGAAGTTATGTAATTAATTTAGTTCATTTTGATGTTACTTATTAATTACATGCAGCTCTGTTAATTTGATAAGATATTTAAATATACTAGCTGTAAGCAACCCGTAATACGGGTTAGTAGTATATAAATCATTACTAACAATTTGATATTTATTTACTTTCTCTAATCAAATATAAATTTATTTATACAGTAAGCAACCCGTAATACGGGTTAGTAGTAAATAAATCATTACTAACAATTTGATCTTTATTTACTTTCTCTAATGAAATATAAATTTATTTATACATTTTTTTAGTTGAGCTCACTTTTATTTTTCTTGGCTTCTTAGTTTAAGAGAACTCTTAGCTTCATTAAAGATAAAGTTAACCATAAAATGACTTAAATTATATGCACAGAAAATTGATGTCAAATTTTCAAATTCCGTAAAATTGTTTAGGTAAATATTGGGAATATATTCTACTCTTAATTTTGCTTTAAGCTGAGTCGTTTCTTTATTTTTAAAACTTTTCATTTTACTGAGTGAAGAGCTTCAAAATATGTCACTATCGCACCTAAACCTTTTAAATGTTATTAATATATTTTTAAAATATTTTTAAAACCTCTAAAATATTACACCCAAACTTGTAGGCATAGAAGTTGGATATCCGGAAAAACTATAAGTTGAAAAATATATCGCAATTCCGAAAAGGGCTTACCCTGCATACGGATCCTATATATTATGATAAAGATTATTATTTAAACCAACCTTTTTTTTAATTAGTAATCCAGCAGAAACTTGTTTATAAAAAAACAAAGGAATATATGGATTTACTATAATAGCTAACGTGTATCAACATATTTATTTCAGCATACATCCAATCCATATTTATACTAATTTTATAAAATACATTTTGCCTTAACTTGGCGTTAGATTATTAGTTTTATTTCATTAATTTTTGTATAGATCAGGTTAATAATAAAAGCAATTGGATTTTACTCAATATTTTTGAAGTAATTATTCAGCTTTAATAAAATTGATAAAATCATAAAAGACAGTTAAAAAATATATTTAAACCTTTGTTCACTTTTTAAAAATCCATAAAAAAGCAAGTATCAAGTTTACTTATCTTTAAAAAAAAATTTATTTACATGATATATAGTTAAATATGTAACAAAAATATTTTAAAACAGAAGCATATATAAAACACATTTTTTTTAAAAAAAAACAAAGTTGAAGCCACCATTTACAGCACCGAGGAGCCAAGCATAGCCTATTGTAAAGAAAACCATATCAAATAATTTAAAATATTTATTACCGATAGGGACGACAGTTAAACATATTTAAAAAGCTACGTGATTCCATATTAGTAGAATTGTTATAGAAAAGTATATTAAAAAAGTATATTTAAAAAAAAGTGTATTAAATAGAAAACAGATTTTTAAAAACTACCTAATTTTGTAAGCATTTTGCCAATGATGTTCAATTTTAAAACCAATATCTTTAATGAAAAGCCGACTTGTTTCACTAAAATCATTCAAAGAATAAAATTATTAAACTTAAAGATAAAGAAAAAAAAAATGAATGAGATATAAACAATCGTTCTATAGTATTATGAATATTTCATATTATATATGAAAAAAAAAACAACAACTGGAAAACAGTATACCTGCTTTTGGTAACCTATTGTGATACTGCAGCAGTTGCTGTAGGGATGCAGCTGTTCTTTTTAGTGTTGTTCAAAAACGTAATTTTTATGTTGGCTTTTAGTAAACTTTAGTTTAATTTAAAAGACCTCACAACGGATTTAAAATATTCATAATAAAAAGAGCAAAGCATAAAATGCTTTAAGGAGCCAAACTATAAACATAAAAGATAAATAATAGAATCGAGATAAATAAATTGTATTTATATAGCTAAATATATTGCCTTGGGTTTTGGTAAGTTTTAAAAGCAGTACCAAATAATTGTTTTTAACAAAAGAATGCAGCATCATTATATTATGATAATTGGATAATGAATCAATTCAACTTTCGACTTTAGAATTTAGGGAGGGGTATTTAAGAGGGCTTTAAATTTGAAGTCAGGTTTAATTGGTGAGAAAACAATTAAAAATTTTATTAAAAAAGATTAAAACAAATCAATTATACAACGTAATATATTTAAAAAAAAAATTACAAAATTATAATAAAAAAAAACACAGAAACAAAAAATTACAAAATTAAAAAAAAAAAAAACCGAAGAAAAAGCAGCAACTAAAAAGTCATAAATATCTCTACTGATAGGAAACATTTACAACCTTTTGGTTGCTGTTTTTTCTTCGGTGTCTCCCAGCACCCCGGTATGGATGAGCCCTCCATTTAAAGGAGGGCTCATCCATACCGCCATTACGTTTCCATTTATTGAAGGACCTCTCTGAGAGAGGTCCCAGGTGTTGGGAGCGATAATTTTGGTATTGTTCAAATGATAAGGAATCTAAAGTTACAAATAGAAGAGTATAATAAAAATTATACATTTGCAATTATTAAAAAAAAAAAAATTAGCATAACCTCACCATTTTCATTCGAAAAGAAGATGCTAAAAAAAACAAAAAAAAACAGCAAATTAATAAGGGTTAAACATGCAATATTTTGTATTTTAATAAATATATAGGGCAATAATGCAACCAGTTCAAAAGTGTCATATTTATTAATTAATTTTTTCACCTATTGCATATATTTCTCCATACAAAATATATAAAATATAAAACACAGTCCTACCAGCAACTTCCACCTGACACTAAAGACAAATATATACTTAAATAAATATATAATAATCGATAAAATAATGTTAACATATAAATATATACATATCTAAATAATTGTTTTACCCATCCCCCTCATTTTATCCATAAAGTTGTCTAAAGTAAGAAAAAAATAACTAAAGCTAAAAACAAAACTATAAACTAAACCAAAACTATAAACTAAAGTAAACTTTAAATCTTCTAAATATTAATGCTTTATTTATTAAACTAAACTAATCATAATTTATACTTAGTTTTTGTTCCAACTCCCCTAAAAGAAAGTATAAAAAAAAAGCTAAAGAACTTGATTTTTTAAAATTCCAGTGGCAGTACAAATAAACAAATTTCTATTAACAAATATCTAATAGCAAAAACACAAAAACCAAATCAGGTCTATCATTCGCATTCTGACCCAGATATAAATTTTCTGTTATTTCACGCCATTTTGGGTTGCAAGTAAAAGTTATAAAAAGATCTGGTTTACCATACTTTTTAATAATTGCATAGCATCTTCAAAGTTTTCTTTTAAAGCTCTAGGACTTCCTACATAAGATGATGGCAAAACTACTACTCGTCCTGGTCTAATATTACGATCATTGGCAATGTTGTTAATATGTTCATGTAAGGCATCGTATTGCTCGCTTCTCAGCTTATTTTGATTATTTCTAATAAAAGCAAGACGCTGGCCTTCAATTTTTACATATGCATCTACAGCATATTGCTGAAAAAGTTTCTTGCCATAAAATAATGAACAGAAAAATTGCCTAACAGAAAGTCTATAATTGTAGAACTGAGATAATGTAACATGATTTCTAACCAGTGTGGCACGCTCAGGGTTATGCACCAATTGATTATGCCAACCAGCATCACCTCTTGGAAAAAATAGCGGATAAACCATAGGATCCAAGTTGGCTGACATACTTGATACAATTTTTAAAGGATGACCTCTTGGGTAAATAACAACTTCCCTGGAAGTTGGGGGAGCACCATCTTCGCCAACAAATACAACTGCAACTTCATCATGTGAAGGTAGATTATAACGACGTCTATCACCGCCTTCAAGTAAAGACATTTTTACAACAGAAGCTGAGCGACCTTCTATAGCCGCCTTACGAATTTCTTCATCTTCTACTTCAGCCATGTTTTTAAATGCAAGAGCAAATGGACTTTGTTCCATAATTATAGTTTGCAATTGAAACATTAAATCACGTAAACAAAGATCATTAGCATAGTGTTGCATTCTAAAATTTAGTGCAGCAAGTGGATCATAAATATATAGTTGAGAATATATTGGTGGAATATCTTGATCTGGCCTAAGATTACCTACACCATGAAAAATCTGGCCACATATTTTAAAACATTGAAGCCCATGATTCATTGGTTGAACTACATTTGCTGTAAAAGAAGCAAAAGAAACATAACTCCCTGTAAACAAATCCTGTAAAGCTTGTGTAATTGGTGAAAGTGGAGGCAAAGCTACCTTACCATTATGGCAACATAGAAAATGTGTTTCATCTGGAAATTTCTTAGCACCACAGTGCTGACAAATTTGATTCATTTCTCCTAAATAATTATAATCTGGAATAGCATTACTTCTCGCTATAGAATACATTCCTCCTTGTTCAACAGCGCTTCTTTCATTTTGGCGACGATTAACATTATCTCGATATAGCCTATTTCTTTCATTTTGGCGATGATTAACATTATCTCGATCGAGCCTATTTCTTTCATTTTGGCGATGATTAACATTATCTCGATCGAGCCTATTTCTTTCATTTTGGCGACGATTAACATTATCTCGATCGAGCCTATTTCTTTCATTTTGTAAACAATTAATTTCATCTCGCCTAAGTCTATTTCTTTCATTTCGTCTACGATTATTTTCAACACGCCTTATAGCACTTATATCATCTTGTAAATACAAAACTACATCTAGCCTATCATCCATTTCAATGTCATCATTTTCATTAAACATATTTATCAAAGCAACACTAATTATTTCTTTTTTTTTTACTAATTTAAAGTTAACAATAAAATAAAAAAAACTTAATAACTAAAAAAATCATACTCGAAAAATTAAAAAAAAAAATTTTCAAAACAAATATATATAAAGAAACCAAACAAATGCAAAATAAAATTAATTTGCCATCATCAAAAGTAATACAGGTTTCTTAAGTTTATTTGATAGAAGTTAAGAAAAACCTGCAACCAC